ATACGGGTGATGATAATACAGGTGGTAATAATACGGGTGTAGATGGCAATAATACGGGTGATGATAATACAGGTGGTAATAATACGGGTGTAGATGGCAATAATACGGGTGATGATAATACAGGTGGTGATAATATTGGTATAGATGGCAATAATACAGGTGGTGATAATATGGATGGTAATAATATGAATATAGATGTCAATAATACGGATGGTGGTAATACAAATGACATGAGTGGTTATTATATAGGTGGCGTTAATATTCTTAATGAATAAAATTTTTTTGCACAAATATATGGAAAACAAAAATTTCATTTTAATTTATTTGGACATATTACGTCCAACCCAGAATGGAAAAATCCATGTTCAAAATCTAACATTTTCCCACTTGTTAAATATTCATCTTTTTCATATTAATGTTATCATTCTTCAATGGGACATTCAACAATTTAGGATGGCCAACATCTAGCTACATTGTATTCTGTTCTCTTGTGACATGACATTAAACTTTGACCATATTTACATATTGACAATATAGTGAAACAAATAGAATTGAAACACATTCATCAGGAACAGGATTAAAAATTTTCTGGTTAAAAACCCGGTTTGAAAAAACTTTATCAGAAATTTTTCTGAGAAACAATCACCATCAACATAAAACTTGAAAAAGAATCGAGTAAAAAATATTTAAAAAGATCCAAAACCTGGCAAAGATTATTTAAACAGTTTTTTTCTCAGTTTTTAATTAATTAGATTTTATATAATTAATTAATGGACTTATTTTTTATATCTATATATCTATATAAAGTATGCTATGATGAATATATACTATCCAACAACTAAACTCATTGGTATTGTTCGACATAAATAACATGGTCTTGATGACGAGTAATATTTTATTTAGTTAGATGACATTAATATAACGTAATCAATAAGATAGAGAATTTCTTATAAACTCTGAATGGTTACATCCCAGTATGCATAACTACATTATCAATCCGGGAAAAGATGAAGAATAATTATATTGCTATATAACTATAATTGAAAGGCAGTTTGATTAATTTTGACCTTTTTCATCAAACAACCATTATTTTTTTTCTTTTAATTAATGCTGTATTTCGATATCACCCAATGTTTCCACCGCACTACCTTCACCTCTTCTATATATGCCATTTTATAATAAACAATATTTTTATTAATATGAATATACCGGTCCTGAATTGCTTTCATCGTTATTAATTGCAACAGCCTCGTTGACTACATCTATCTACTATGCGAAACATGAACGTGAAAGGATTTAAAATTTAAAGGCGCCAATAAAATATATAGAAAGACAGACTCGGAAAATAGCACCTCTAGAAAAGTATTTTTTAATCTATTGTTGAAAATAAAAAGATGATGGATAATGATGATAATATTTTAATCTAATGCCTCAAAATTGGCTATTGAAAGATTGCACATTCTCCTTGATCAGAATAAATTAAAATTTTTTCTTGTTTATTGTATTTTTTGTATTTTAGGTCTATTTCTTTTGCTTCACGTAAATATTACAAGCAATCTGGTCCTCTCCACTCAAAAAATCAATATTTTGAATATATTTCCTAAACAACCACCCAATTAGGACCATTCGTTTGATTTAGATATTTAATTTAATTATGGCTATTAAAACAAATATGATTAGTCTCTAGGAAAAAGGATCATTTCCTTTACAACATTTACTATTACGACCATAAACTTATAATTAATTTGTCCACCACATTTTTAGAAATAATCACCCTACCTGAAATTATACAACACAAAATTCTACCTGTTGTAGGTATTATTATCATTATCAGTTATAATAATAGTAATATTTTTATTATTACTAGTTACCATGGTGGGTGCTTGCATCATTTGGCAGTTATTCACTTGGCAATATTGGATACCATCTATTTAAATTTAATAATTGTGAAAACGCCTATTATGAATTAATGGCAGTAAGTATTCTTTATTTGAGAGAGACGATGAAAAGATGTACTTTTTAAATAATAGTCATTCTTTTTTTTCTTTTCTTAATAAAAGGAGATACAGTTAGCAAAATATGAATCGAGACCTAAAGGTGTAAGCGTTGATTGATTAATTGATGGAACATGATACAGTCTACTCTCTCTATAACGACCACAAAGTAAAATTTCTCTATAACGAACTTCCCTTTTGTCCCCGTTTCAACTTTTTATAATTAATTTCTCTCTCTATAACGACCAAAAGCAGAGAAATTACATATAGGGACAGAGGGTTCGTTATAGAGAGAGTGAACTGTACATTGATTCGTTTCGGAAAAGATCGAAGGAAATAATTTTTGAAATAGTATATATCAGTCAATTAATGGTTAAAATAACATTACAATACTTTAATGTTTAATATGCAAGTTTATTAAAATTAAAATAATAAATAGTAATAATAAATAAATTAAATTAACAGTAATCAGTAATAATAAACCATTATAAAAATTTTTCTTTTAATTTTCTCTATTCAAGCAAATGTCTAAATTCTTCTTGAATTTCATTATAAAGTTTTTGATAACGTTCCTTAAGAACCTCTTCACCATCAGCAGGATCCTAAACAAAGAATTAATATATATATATATATTAATCGATCAATTAATTTTCAATAAATATATTGATAAATAATATATCAACAAACAACATACTTCGAATTTCATAGAACTAAGCTTATATAAAAGATCTGCTGTATGTTCTCTGATTTTTGACCATGTTATTTCATTATTAGTGACTTCAACAGCATGTGTTGCTGCTGTGTAATATCCGATCAGATTTTTAAGTAACCAATTCGTCTTTTTTTAATTGAAAAATGAAAATGAAATAATTAGTGATTTTTTCCACTCTTTTCATTAAAGTTAATTTTTTTTTCTATTTAGTCACCTTGTAAAATGGACAGAAACGATCGTATGAAGAATATCCATTTTGTTGTAAGAAATCATCTTTAATAATCCTTGCTATTTCCAAAGTAATCTTATCAGCTTCTCCGAGTGCACTCTAATAAAATCAAGCAAATAAATAAATAAATATTACTAAACTAATGAAAAATAAAATAATAGAAAAGAAAGACATACTTTTCCAACAAGTTGTACTATTTCAGAAAGATCTTCTTCCTTTTGAAGAATTTCTTTAGTTTTGTCTCTTAAAGTGGTAAATTCAGGTTCGGTTGATTCATAAAAAGAATCCAAAACTTTAAGATACTTTGAATAACTCAATGACCAATTAACTGATGGAAAATGTTTCCTTTGTGCAAGTTTTTTATCTAAACCCCAAAATACTTGAACAATACTAAGTGTAGATGCTGTAACAGGATCTGAAAAATCACCACCTGGTGGAGATACACTAATAATTAATCAAATAAAATATGTTAAGGAAAATAAACAATATGCGTAATATTTGATTATTATGGGGGTTTTTTTTTTCTAAAAAAAAGGATACGCTCCCACTACTGTAACACTTCCTTCACGTTTGGGATTACCAAGACATGTTACTTTACCAGCACGTTCATAAAATGAAGCTAATCTGGCACCCAAATATGCAGGATATCCACTATCTGAAATTTACACAAAAGAAAGGAATTCTGAATATATTTTAGTAAAATTTTTTGTAAAAAAAAAAACCTAAAAGTATTATTATTAAATAACCTGCAGGCATTTCTGCTAGGCGACCAGATATTTCACGAAGAGCCTCAGCCCATCTAGAAGTTGAATCAGCCATCATTGCTACATTTTTTCCTTGATCACGGAAATATTCAGATAATGTAATGCCTAAAAAAAAAACAATAGTTACAAAGAAGATGAATAAAATAAAAATTATGCATATTTTTCTTTAAAAAAGTTTTTTTAATTAATTAGTGCATTCCAACCAGTATAAATAGAGGCTTCACGAGCAGCTACAGGCATATTTGAAGTATTGGCCACTAATGTTGTACGCTTCATTATAGATTCCTTGCGGCCATCAATAGTAATAGACAGCTAATTAATACCACCCAGGGTGAAAAAATTAAAATTAGATTTTATAAATTAATTGAAAAATTTTTTTTTTGTTTTATCCTTTAGTAAAAATAAATTATTTTTTACCTCTGGGAAATCCATTAATACTTCAGCCATTTCATTACCACGTTCTCCACTAAACACATAATTAATATATAATTAATAATTTAATACTATAATAATGACAATGATAATTTGAATTATTATTATTATTATTTTTACTTACCATCCGACATAAATAATAATATCAGAATTTGAATATTTTGATAATGATTGTGATATAACAGTTTTACCACATCCAAAGGCACCTGGAATAGCTGTAGTACCACCCTGCACACAACTATTTCAAAATAAATTTTCAAAAAAATAAAAAAGTAAAATTTCTTTATGTTTTGTTTCTGTTGTTGTTGTTGTGATTTAAATAAAACCTTACGGAAAAAGTGAATCTAAAACTCTTTGACCAGTAAGCAATGGATAATTTGCAGATAATTTTTCTGTTACAGGACGTGGTGATCTAACAGGCCAAAGTTGTAACATTGTATATGATGATTTTTGATCTTCAAATTCTGTTTCAAGTACAACATCCTTTTTACCATTGAGAAATTTTTAAGATTAAAATTTTTTCATAATTATTTAAAATAAATTTAATGATTTGATAAATAAAAATGATTTAAAGTGAGCAAGTGTCAATCTACCTCTAAAGTATAACTACCCTTATCTGCGATATGTGTGATTGTACCAAGTGATTTTGGTGGTAGCATAATATAATGATCATTTACTAGAGAATTTTCAAAAATTTTGCCATATATATCCCCACCAGTAATATGATCACCACACTACAAAATTCAAGTTTTTTAAATGATATAAATTTCATATTGTTTTTTTTTTAAAAAAATCTAATTTAGCAAGCAAGTACTTTGAAACTAGAAGGTTCAAAATCCCATAAAATTTTTTTATCTAATGCTGGTGTAGAAATACCACGTGGAATATAGATACTATTGGATAGTTCACGAATAGACTAAAAAAAAATTTTTTAACAATTAACAATTGGCTTAAATTAATTGATTGGATTAAAAAAATTTATTAATTTTATTAATTTAATAATCTTACTCTAAGTGGTCGTTGAATTCCATCATAAATATTAGCCATTAATCCTACAAAAACACACATGTTAATTGTTTCATTTATATCATAGAAAATACAACAAATTGATAATTATAACAATAATTACCAGGACCCAATTCCACTGAAAGAGGTTTTCCTGTCTTCAATACTGGATCACCAACAGTTAATCCAGCTAATCATTATTATTGTTATCATTGAAGAATAATTGGTTAATTGATTGATGTATTGATATATAGTAAATATATACTGCTAATTTTAATAATAAGGTAAAATATATTGATTATTCACCAGTTTCTTCATAAACTTGAATAGTGGCTTTATCACCATCTATACGAATCACTTCACCAACAAGCTCTTCATGACCTACTCGAACCTATATCAATCAATTGATCAATCAATAATTACATTTAAAATAATTATTTTTATAAAAAAATCAGTTTGATTTTTACCAATTCGTACATAGCTGATCCTGTCATTTGTTCTGCAACCACAACTATTTAATTAATTAAATAAAATTACAATAGTGGATTAAAATAAAATTGCTAAAGAAGTAGCTTTCATAATGGTAACAATAAAGTCAATTTAAAAAGTACCAGGTCCAGAAACTCCATATACATAACCAAAATCACTTTCTTTTTCAGCATCTCTTATTGTTTCTAAATTTTTTTTGGCATTTTCTAATGCTCCTGCCTATAAAATATTAGAAAAAATAAATAATTTTGATCGCTACTATAATTAATTTTATGAATGCAAAAAAAAAAAAAGAAACTAATAATGCACCATTTTATTAAATTTCCTTTACTTTTACTATTAATAATAATATTAAATATTCGCAAAAATTAATTACTAAGGAAAGAAGAACAACAGTTAAAAATTAGAGATATTACTGTTATTATTATTATTGATGTGTGATTATCAAATAATTCTATAATCTTATTTATTCACTATTTACTTAATTTGGAAAATTTTTTTTTGAAAGGAATCTCAAAAAAGATAATCAATTTAGACCCTTTTACAAAAGAATCTCTACTTTATTGTTTATAAATATAAATTTTCGAATATTTCATTGCAATCAATTTCTTCTTTAATAATGTTCGTTCAAGTAAATATTCAGTCGATAGATCTCTATCGTAACTCTCTGAAAATTTACATTTGTGCAATGAGAATATTAGAGAATAACATTAACATTGATAATTTATATATAAACAAGGTATCCCTGTTAACGCCAATTATTTAACAAGTATGGCCGACTATTACTCTTGTGCAATTGCAACCAATACATAATAATAAATAACTCGGTGCTTGTCAATTAATTAATTTATGAATTTACTTTGGTTCTCACCTACTGCCTTTTTCTTGTACCTAAAAAGTTTCGGCAAGTCTCAATGGTGCTGGATAACCGCAAATAAATAAATATGACTCTTTTACAAAGCTCAAAGGCTTCTATAAAGTTCCTTTTATTTCAGTCGTTTATTTTTATTTAGACGATTTAAGAATATCCTTACTTTTACAATAACAATCTTATTACAATCAACCTTTGGATAATACTTTATTAATCATCGTTAACAACATTAGTCTTGCTTACCCACCAAAGCAAAAATAAAGCGTGGCTTTTTACAATTGTTGCCTTTTCACTAAGACACTACGTTTGTTGCTTTTACCAAAATGCTTTACATAAAAAATAAAAACATCGTCGGTTTTATCTTTTAAAAGTCTATCTACAATTCTAGGGATTATTTATTTTATTTATCTGTTTTTCCAGCGAGGTCCTGAAGTCGTCAACCAATCATTGAAAAAATTTCAACGCCAATTAATCGGAATGATCCGAATTGTTAATAACTTTTTCATCTGGTTCATTGAAAGCACCCCGAAGTAAGTACTGGTGACAATGATTAGAGACGGTGAAAAGAATTTAAAAATACTGGTGTTTAACATTCGAGATCCTGTAACATACAATAATAATAATGTTATCATAGCTACAGTCGAAACCGATGTGCTTGTTTTAGGTTCAAAGCATTGTTTTATTAAGTAGTCTTCGATAAAATGAAGTTAATATATTTTTTAAAAAAAATCGGTTTAAAAAAATTATGCATCAAAATTTATACATTCGCTTATACAACATGCTATTTCTAACGAATTTTAAAACGAGTAGCAAGGTTGGAGTAGGTTCCGATTGTTTTAGAACACATATTAATATTAGTATTTTTCTATAAATCATTCGATACGGTTATTATTGTATGCGGAACCATATACAAAAATAGCTTTAAACATTAAAGCGAAACAATAGTAATAGAAATCTTCGCCTTATTGAGTTGATTTTTATTATAAATGAATAGTAATAACAAAAATTCATTTCTTTAAGTTCCGACTGTAAATAACTTTTCATTAAAGTAACCTGGAGTTAATTTATTAACTTGGAATCCATGACGAAGAAGGTTTAAAACAAGATTTATATTTGTTAATGAAACTAGATAATAATAAGAGATATGAATAACAAAAAATTAATTCGCTTTTTTTAAGTATTAATGATGATAATATTAATGGATATTAATAAAAGGCATGGATAATGAAAATAAATTCTCTTTGCAGGGATTAGATTTAATGATCACTTTCTTTAATTAATGAGCCCTTTCTTTAGCAGATATAAAGAAAATAATAAAATAAAAACTTTAGAAATTTTTATAAATAGGTATGATCTTTGACAGTAAAAGACTTTATTAATAATATAGTAACAATCTCATTTTGTAATTTAATAATAATTATTAAATAAAATAAAATATCTCTTGTAATCTTATATATACATTTTAATAAAGTTTGTCCTATATATTGTTGTGCTTGCTTATATTGCCTAATCATTGATAATTTGTAAAAGAAATTATTGGTATCGGTGAAAAGAAAAAAGTTATACTATTGTAAAGTACTTATAAATAACTTATAAAAACGATTTTCTGCCTTTAATTACTTCCTCCTTCATAAAATCTCATACATGCCATATTTTTTCTGGAAGCTCTCGATGTACTCTATCTTATCATACATGAATGTTTTTACTTGAGAGTGAAAATTATTATTTACAACATGCGGGAAATTATATATTAAAATCATATTAGTATATTAGTATGTTTAATCAAGTTTATATAGTTAACAAATAAAATGCTTTGTAAAAAAAATATGCCCATTTTTATTTGAGAGTTTATCAGCTACATAGTAATATTCCAGAGCTATAAAATCTTATTCTCGCATTCCGTTTTAATTCTACATGTACAACGAATTTAATTTTAAACTGTTGTTACACGTCGTTATTGGCATGCAGTGGGAAATCTCTGATATTATTTTTCCTATCATCATTATATGATTTGATTTTGATTTTATTTGATCAAGATAGATAATAATAATCTTTCGTTTCACACTTAAAAATTATATATTTATTATCGGTATATTAATATAAATTTTTCCATAAATAATTTTCACTTTGTTAATTAATATAAATGTCACTTTTATTAAAGTCTTTTCGTATCAATAATAATCAAATTATATCATTTTCTTCTTCCACTAATAGATTTGAATCAATAAAATTTAATAGGTCAATGAAAAGAAACGCAAGTTCTTGGACAACATGTAATAAAAAGCATTTAATTCCTACTTCTGGAACATATCCCAAAGGATTTAAAGCAACAGGTTTACATTGTGGCATTAAAAAAAATGGTAATAAAGATTTGGCTCTGATTACATCCTGACAAACCATGCACTGCATCTGCTGTCTTCACAACAAATATATTCAAAGCTGCTCCTGTTCTATTATCAAGAGAAATCATTGATAAGAAATCAGGTGAAAACATTCATTCATTGGTGGTTAATTCTGGTTGTGCTAATGCTGTTATGGTGCCGATCATCTAAAGACATCAAAATTTCAGCTAAACTTTAAAATGTATAAGCTCAATAACTAAGCAGGATTAAAAAAAAAACTCTCTATAGTTCGATTTTATAAGATCTAAGGAAAAATCTAATAGAGAGTTTTTTTAAAATTTATCAAAATGAAAAAAGTTATGGCAGTTTAAAGTTTGTCATTTTTACTATTAAAAAAAAAAATTCACCGCCGATCATTACGCGATTTACAGAATATTTTCGCGTTATAAAGAATATTCACGTGATTCACGTGATTCGTGAAATTCCATTAAAACAGATTCGGGAACTCTTCTATGAGAATGATATTTTTTAACCGCAAAAATAGCTGCTTTACCAGAAAGTCTCATCCTATAGGCACTCATAAACCTATAACATCTTCTTGCAAATTTACGAATTTTACAGAGAGAGACAGAATTAAGGGCTAATGGTACAGTTTGTTGTAAACCTTCCCAAGAATAATTACAGTTTTTTCTTGTATAGTTTTTGGCAGCCCCCCAAAAACTTTCAATGTAATTTAGCTCGCAATGGTATTTAGGAAAGAAAATAATTTTATGTCCTGCATTCTCAACAATCTCTTGTAAAAGAGGCCTTTGCTCCATAAAATCTGGTTCCAATGATATAATTTTAAATGCACAGCATTCTACCTGATCAGAGGGTTCATTGTTTCTACAACTTCTACACTTTCTCATTAGACCAGGTCTCCATAAACCTCTCTCTTCTAAAACTATTTTCATTCCCTTTGGCTCTCCATTTTCAAGGACCATAGACTGACATGTACCATCCCTTTTTCTTCCATTACGCATCTTTGGCTGTCCTCCACCAGAACTTAGATTCATTCTTGAAGCAATCAATGCATCTACAGCATAAGAAGTATGGCAAGAACTTTGATCGAATGCAAAAACACCAATACAATTTGGATGCATTTTCTCAAATATTGGAATTGCTCTCTCTTGTAACTAAAAACAAGATAAGTATTAATTGATATATTATATGAAATGAAATAAAATAAAATAAAATAAAAAAAAATAAATTCCTGTCTAGCCAATTTATTATTGTTCCAATATTCATCTCTATTCTTTCCAGGTCTCATAACAACACATGCCTCTTCAGGGATTCTTTCTGACTCAGGTAGATTATTATTAATTTCTCTTTGTTGTTGATCTAATTTCAACCTACCTATTGTTTCACATAAAAATTCACTCACATGAAGACTACTTCCTTGAGTTTTGGGTCTTAGAGGTTGTTCACCTTCTGGAGCCCAAAACTTTTTCAAACCATCATTGGAAAAAAAAGTAGATTCATCATGCACAACTAAAAGATGAAATTTTTCATCTTGTTCCAAAGAAGGCCATTTTTCTTCATTCATATTTTCACCTTCAAATACTGGCATGTATCTTTCTAATGATTCCATTTTCTCTATAAATTCTTTCCGATATTCCACTACATCTGGTCGCTCATGACCATCAAAATATAGATCTTTACTATGAGCTTTATATTCCCATCCCATCTTCTTCAACCATCGTCTAGCTGTTGCTTCACTGATTTTCTTATTTTTTTCATATCCAACAAAAGGAAAAATTTCATCAGAAATATAATTAATAAAGTCTGGAATCTTAAGGTTGAATTTTTGAACATGAAGGTATTGATTAATCTTTATAATTATGTCTTCATCATTTAAAATACTAACTACTTTCTGATGTTTTCCACGCCTAGAAACCAAAAGAGCCCCATCTGATAAATACTGGTTTGCCCAAGTTCTGATTAATCTGGCCATCCAAGGGCCATGATTTATTGATTCAGAAATAAGCAGACTTGCAGAAAGCTTTGAATGTCCATTTTTTGTAAGACGAAGATATTGTGCAACATATTGCAATCTAATATCATTTATCTTCTTTTGTTGCAAGTCTAACTCAAGATTTTCTAGAGAAAAATTAGATATATTTTCTTCAAGTTCATCTTCACTGTCATTTGAATATAAATGGTTTTGTTGTAATTCATTTTGATTAGAATCTTTAATGTTACCAGAAGATGCCTGATAAATAAATATTGATAAATTACATTATTTTTTTATTTTGAATATTTTGATAATTATTTTATTTTTTCATTTTTTTTTACCTGAAAAAAAGTTGTTATTTTAGATGTTCCTTTAGCAGCATTTTTTAATATTCTTTGTTTTTGTCTAATAGTCTCTTCTGCTGCACCAGTATATATCAGAGGTCTACCTTTAGATTCCAAAGTATCACTTTTGTTGCTAATTCTAATTAATTTTGAAAATGCAGATTCTAATTCTGTAGTTAAAGATAAATCTCTCCAATCATCATCAGATTCAATGTTTTCATATATTAACTCTTCAATTTCTAATCTAGATTCATTTTCAAATACCTCCTTATCAATATATTCATCTGTAATAGGCTCAATAATTTTCAATTTTTTGGTTTCACATGCTTTTTGTAAATGTTGATTTCTTTTACTCTGTTTAGGCATTTTTAACAAAAAAATAAGTATATGGTAAAGAAATAAATTAATAAATTTGAATTAAAAAAAATCGCGTTAAAAAATCGCGGTTCCATAAAAGGAATGATTCTCATGAAAAAATTTCACCAAATGGCGCAGCATTTGATGTCTATAGATGATTGGCACCATATATTATGTATAATAAATAATATTAGCTACAAATGGTGTCATTGTTGCCACTGAGAAAAAAACAGCATCACCATTGATAGTTGCAAATGTTTGTCCAAATATTGGTATTGTTTATTCTGGAATGGGACCAGACTTTAGAGTGTTATTGTCAAAGGCAAGAAAGGCAGCTCAAAAATATAAAAGAATATATAACAAGTATCCACCAACAGGAATTTTAGTTAAAGAAGTTGCTAGTGTAATGCAAGAATTTACTCAAAGTGGGTATGTAAAAAAAAAATTAAAGATTTTAATATTTATTTTATAATAAATTCTATTTATGTTTATTAATATAAAATATATTTAAAAGTGGTGTATGTCCATTTGGTGTATCTCTTCTTATTATGGGTTATGATGAAACTGGTCCAACATTATATCAAGTAGATCCTTCAGGGTCATACTGGGCATGGAAAGCATCTGCTATTGGGAAAAATATGGTTAATGCAAAAACTTTCTTGGAAAAATGGTATTAAATGGTTTTTATGAGTCATAAATATATTTATTTGCATATAATATTTATATTATAATATTTATATCAGATAATAATAATGATATTGGATTGGAAGATGCAGTTCATACTTCAATTTAACATTAAAAGAGGGATTTGAAGGGCAAATGACTGAAAATTCAATTGAAATTGGAATTATTGGTGGTGATGCAACAGGATTTATGGAAGACAAAGAACAACCATTATTTAGAAAATTGTCTCCTTCAGAAGTTAAAGATTATTTGGCTAATATAGCTTAATAATCTTATATTATTTAATAAGTATAAATTGAAAATTAAAAATATGCATACCAATTAACTTATTTTTCTGATGTTCATTTTCCCAAAGTTGAGAATCTTTTTCTTAATATTTTCATCTTGATTTATATTATTTACTGATGGTGGAGAAATATTGTTATAAACAATCAAAATAATGAAATTTATATAATATTGTTCATTACATTACAAGTAGCAATGCTTCTAATTCTAATGATATTTTTTATTTTTTGTCTATGAAAAATATTGAAATTGTAATCCAACTGATTTTATTGGGGATAATCTTGAACTGAGATCTGCAATTAAACCTAAACTAAACAAAATATTTCCATATTTACCCTCCCATAATAATTTAACATTCTATTAAACACATTAATATATATACATATTATAAATAAATAAAAAGTAATCAGCAAAAATAATAGTATAATAATAATGATGATGACAATGTTATGAAAAGATTATTTATTTAAAGAAACCTTTGATGTTCCAATTGTAGCTTTAACTACACCATTAATATCACCTAGTTGCTTACTAGTTTCATCATTTCTTTCATCTGGTTTTTTTCTTTGCCACCATTCACCTCCAATCATCAGATCACTTTCATAACTATACATATTGAAATCAAACCTAGGACAAAGTGTCAAAACATCAGAAACTTGTGCAACATAAGCAGCTGACATATGTCCCATTATTGGATTAATTATGTAAGTAACAGTAACAGGTGCTTGGTTAGAATATTGAGGAAGAGTTCGATAACGAATCCCAACCGAAACTATATTAAAATAAATGAATAAATAAATGTTCAATTAATATTTTTTATTTTATTTTTTTTGATGCTCAGAAATAAAAAATTTTTATCTAAAGAAAATGATTCAACAGCTGCTGCACACACCTCCACCACTTTTTTCTCTTACCCCATAATATATTTCACCACCAATTGACCATACCCCCTTTAATACTTCAACTTCATCAACCTCATCAAGATCAGGTGATTTGTCAATAGTTTTTTTTTCAACATAATATTTTTTAGTGTCCTTTTCTTTTTTTGATAGAGCTTCTTGAACTTCTTCAATAACTTCTTTTTCTTCTAAATTATGACCTGAAAAATTGTATAAACCTCTAATACCAAATAATTCTCCATCAGTTGTATAAGAGAATTCATTACACCATTTTCCAGTATCATATTGAAGTTCTGCAGTAAGCTTAATTTTAAAATGTTTATGAATAACTAATAGAATATTATAAATATTTATGTTAAATGAGTAATTCATTAACTAATTACATGTGAGTCAGATCTTATCCTAAGATCATTAACACTTGTGATTACACACTGTATTCTTGATGAAAATCTTTTGGAATAAATGGTTTCAAGTCGTGTTGTGGGAATATGTAATCTTCCATATAGCAAATAATCTAAATATATGTATTTAATATTTTTTTTTTTAAATATCAGATAAAATCTTCAATGTCATTTATTATTTAATAAAAAATTCAGTGGAAAAAGTTTACCCTTAATTGGTTGAATTTCTTTTTCATTATTTGTATTTATATTTGGAATATAATTAACATTAAATCGATCAATTATTTCTGTAAATTTTAAATGACTGCTTAAATCAATAATTAAAGGACGCGAAGTAAATAAAAATCCCAAAGATCCATTTAGTATTGGTGATGCATTTAATGAATATGAAGATTTAAAAAGTGATGTTTGGATTTTTGATATTGCAAAAGTAAAACCTCGGGGTATTTGAAAATCCAAAATAGCTATCAAAAGGAGACAATTACATTTAATTAAATTCATATTCCCTCTAAAGACATCATGATAATAATGACAATATAAAGTACATAAGATTCTTACATTAAAGTCCATAAAGCTCACCTCGAGAAGCAGCACATAAATTTGAATACTGGTTGTCATCATTCCAATCGGTAGCTTTAAAATATTGACGAAGACAATATTCCATAAAATCATGCATTTTTAATAAATTAAAAGTGATATACAATTATATCAAATCTAAAGCCGAATTGTGCTGTTCATTGGTCACTGACTTTTGGGTTCCATAGCCAGTCAGCTGACAACAGGAGAGAACGTCCTATATAAGGAATGGATTTTCACAATTGATTTCAATTTTTTTTATATATGGGGCATGCTGCAACAAAACCAGACAAAGTGAACATTACGTTGTAAAGAAACTTTAGGGTTCAAATTTACTGGAATTGGTGATAATAATAATTTCTAAAAAGAATTATTTCCTATTTATTTTTATCACAATTTATGCTTCTTGTTGTTCTTAATAGTCCCTTTACTTTTATCTTTTTCTTAAAAGGAAACTAAAGTTGTTAGCCAAAACTACCCCTCTTAGTATTAATTTTTGTTTTGTTTAAAAAATTCAATTACAAATAAAGATTGGATTTATTTTTTTATTAAAGCAAATAATATAATATTGAAACTATATCGTGTTCTTTTTCTTGGTTTAGCACAATCATCATCTATACTGTTCAATTTATTACTGTCCATTAAAAATGACTAAGATGTTTCATTATTAACTGGATTTTTTGTAGCTTTTAGTGTTTTGGTGGTAATGGTAGTAGTATAAGATGATGATATTTTCTTGGTTATCACTTACAAATTTGTGGGCTCATGGAAGAAATTGTGTCTAATTTGAGTGATAACATTTTCTACCCGAGTAATTTGTTCTTAATATACAATCACAAATAAACTGTACTTCCCAATAAAATCTTGCCATCTTTCTCTTCTTCCTACTTCTTAACATCAGAATAACTTCTAATCCATCATATTTTTCTGTCATCATGGATAGAAATACTATTATTAACTTATTATTACATATTGTTAAATTTAGAATTATTTTCTTTTATTGTTGCCATCTTTTTTTCCATTATTATACAATTATTTTGAAAAAATTATTTTCACTTATTAAACTTTATATTAAATCTTTTAAGAATTCAAATAAAAAAAGAAAGATTGTTGAAAACAATGAACTTATAGAAATTTCAATTTGCAAATTTAATAAATTATGAGTCCCCTATAATTTTGAGAAATACCGATTGACTGATAGATACAAAAAAAAACTTTTTATATTTTAAGAATCAGAAAGGCAGAAAAAAGGTTAAGGAAAACGGAGGAGAAATTGGACAAGTTGGAGGAGTTGAAGAAAAAGTTGAAGGAGGAGGAATGGAAATAAGAATTTTTTGAAATTGGTGCAATATATAAAAAAAATTGATATAACAATACACAATTGAAAAAAATTACATGATAAAATCTTGAAAAAGCAGATATTAAATACATCATCACATTAGCATGCAGCCTTTGATTTTGGTCTTTTAGGTGGTGATTCTTGCGTTTGAGTTATTATTTCTTGGAATTTTCTTTTTAAAATTTGTACCTCATCACCATTAAAACTGAAATGTCGAATTTTGGATGACTCTTCCTTTATAATCATCTGCAAAACAATGATCAAGAATATGTCAGATAAAAATTTCAATAAAAAAGAGTTAAAAAAAGCAATTAGAAGCAAAGAAAAAGAAATAAAAAAAATTGAACGATTATTATATAAAGAACCACTACAAAACTCCCATCTCTTTTAGGTGGGGGTGATAGTTTTATGGGTGATAATAAACAAGACTTACTATAAATTCAAGAAGTTTTGTAATTCCAGCTTTCATTTGGTGAATCATGCCAATGTGTGATGCTATTGTAAAACTACCAAATTCTTCATAAATATAAATACCATCTTTCCACATAATTGTCATTTTCATTTCATATAAGTAACCAAGTATTCCAAATACTAAACGATCATTATAATTGATATCTCCTAGTTTCATTGCTTGTAATATCCTCAAATTTAAACAATCTCGTAATTCTCTATATAATTTAAACCAGTCAGTGGCGTATTTTGTAAGATCAGGATTCGTTGGGGCGCCAGCTTGTTCACCCACAAATAGCTCTTCTTTTGTATCCCAAGTCCGTGCCAAAATATCTGCAAACTTCCCATCAACAACTTTTTCAAGTGCATGATTTAATCCAAAGTTTTTTCGATATTTTGAAGCATAAACTGGGACCTCCAGACTAAAAAATTCACTAAGATCAATTCAATGTAATATTAAAATTTTCCTATCGAACCCCCAACACTTACATTCTCCAATCTAAATTTGCAAAGTATTGTAATGCCTTTGAAAAGAAGCGATGTGCAAATTCTGCCCAATAATGATGCTCAGATGTATCTGGTGAGCTGATATCCGGCAGTGGTTTTAGAAAGGATTCGATCCTATAAAATGAGATGAAAAGTTGAACATTAGTTGAACCAAGCAATGAATAGATGATATGAATTAAACAATTGTCTTTTTAAATGTGTAATGCTTACAGTGGTGACATGACACAATTGAGGTATTTTTTGAACTTAATAGCTTCATCGCTATCACTATCTTTGACAGCATTAAGCTCATCAGTCACCTTGACCCAATCATGTATTGTTTTCGGTGACCCACCACTTGAAATAGTCTCCTATAAGTATGAACAATTGATTTGTAAATGATGATGATGATGAGACAAGCGTTGAAGATCTTATAAAAACAAATAACATTTTATGTATGCTTACCGAAAAGTAATCATTTAAAATTTGCTTCCAACATTCAGGAATCTCAGCTATTCTTTTTGGTTTAATCGACATAAGTTTAATATATCGTTCAAGTGGCATGGAATTGGAAAATCCACTCTCACCACAAATGTCCATTACATCATCATTTGTACATCAATACATTAAAGATATTAAGATATTAATGCTTCAGTGCAAGACTTCGTGTGGCATTATATAGTAAACACTCTTTTAAAGGTAAAGCAGAGAAGGTAGATTGAACACTTACGATGTATTGTTTTCGGTGACCCACCACTTGAAATAGTCTCCTATAAGTATGAACAATTGATTTGTAAATGATGATGATGATGAGACAAGCGTTGAAGATCT